CACTTTTCACAGTGACCGCCATTAATTGGATTTCCCCAATAACCTTTGCTACATTTTTCACAATGTTGACCGGTGGTAAGATTCGAACATGGTTGCTCACAGTTTATATAATCAGGACAGTGAGAGTGGCCATTGCAATTACAACGTGGACAAGAAGTAAAAAACCAATGTTTTAGTTGGCACTCGTTCGAATCGTAAGGCGACAATGCTCCGCCAGCAATGCATTTCCCCAAGCCCGTATTTGAACCATCGTCACACCAACCACACGCCGGATCATCCAAGCATTGAGCACAACTGTTATAGAACCCACATTGTGCACTGGACTGTGCAGCGGTTGACTGGCCGATAGCAGTGTTGGTGGGAGGCGAACGACATTTTGCAGCGTGAGTGGTCCATTCTCTACATTGTCCGTATGGGAAGCTGGGCGTGTATGCATTTCGATCGACACACCTCTGCTCATTCTGGCACCAAATGCAGTCATCTTCAGTGCAGTTGTGACAATTTGTCAACGTGGCGCACGGTTGTGGACAAATGATATCGTCTCGGGTGCGATTGAAATGTACATTATTGGAAAGATATGGTCTGCAACGATTATGCTCGGCATCCCAACTGCATGCCATATTTGCGGAGCAGGCGTGACAGCTGTGCAACTGTTCACAAACTGTGGTAATCATGAAATCTTCTATTTTTGGACAATTGTCGAGGTGTTTAATGTTCGCACTTGGTGTGGCTGGCGGCACAAATTGTTGGTGTTGTTGTTGTTGTTGGTGTTTCTGTTGGCTATTAGCTTCATAGAATAATGTTGTTATTGATGTGGTCTCACGACATCGCTCCCTTGCGCAAACACCATTTCCACAATAAGTACAGCCGTATGAATTCGCCACGCATGATTGGCAATTACTGAGTTCTTGACAACGTAGAACATCATTCAGTAATTCTGAAGTCATTGTGAGGCGACTTTTTGGTGGGCAAACTACATAATCGTATGGTTCTCGACCGAATATCGCTGAACGTTGTACCTGCGTTATGGGAATGCAGCGCATCTTTTGCACATCCCATATACATTTGACGCCCGGACGACCGTTGGTGCATTTTTCTTGCTTTGTGTAAAAACTGCAGTAACCGGGTCTGAATCGTAACATATCATTTAATAATTGGCCGTTGAAACCGCCATAAATATAAAGTGCGTCCTCGAACACAACAGCGCTATGACCAAACCTTAAATAAGAAAACAAGGCGCATTATATATATCTGTGAGCATTTGGCAAAACAATTTAACATTCCGACATTTAATGGTTTACAACTAAATCGTTGGGTTTTCAAACAATAATTTTGATTATGGTTGTTGCCGTTGACTCGAATAATTTTGACCGTGCCGAACTGCCATCACCAATGGCTGAGTGGAAGATCGACCTATCTCGGCAGCCAGTTCGAAAACGCTCTATCTCAAAAAACTTTTCAAGAACGCCCTATTTCAGAATTTAATTGAAAAACACCCTATCTCAAAATTCGGTTCAAAAACGCCCTATCTCACTTCAAAATGTATTGAAAATATGCTGATATAGGGCGTTTTTGAATCGGCAGCTGAGATACTTATTTTGGTCGTTAGTGTTACCGACAGAATAGGAGAACCATGCATTGTGGAACCATTTCCGTCATCCCTTGTCAAATTTAATTTTCGTTATTAATAAAATTATAACTGACGTCAAAACTTTTTAAATCCAATAGCAGTCTTTATCGAGAGTTCACTGATACAGTGGAACGTATAGAAGAGCCAACAGAGTCGAAATTTTCGCGAATATTTAAGATTTTTGTTATTTTCGACACTTTCATTTGAGGTCTCGCTGTAAAGGAAACCATTTAAAGAATATTCTTTTGCAGGCATCGGTACCTACTGCCTTAAGCCGGATTTTCACTAGGCATTAAGTGACAAAAATTTCAATGGTAAAGTTGATGATGGAAAATTACCCGTGCCATTGTTAAGAAAAATATTTATGATGCCGAAGCTTTTCTAGGCATTGAAATTACAAACAATTTGTACTGATTTTTACCATTGAAAAACACCGCAGGGAGACGAACTAACTGACTATTATTATTAACGTAATGAATACGGATATTTTTAATGTCTAAGTTTGTCATTAACATTTGTGTAATTTATTGCCGGCTATCACGGCTCGTTTCCACATGGAGTTTTTGGTAGACCTCGTTTTTTTTGCTTTTTGCTTCAGTAATAACGGAATAAAACCTGTACAAATCTCGCCTATTGCTCCGATATCAGGTAAAAGGAAGTCTCCCACCAAGTTCTACTACGAACTCTGGTATAAAAACACACTCTCGATAAATCAAATATCAAACAAAAATGCTATCGTTATTGCTAAAAATTAATGTATAATTTTTACCTGGCTAAATCAGTTTGCAAATGTTCCGGCATCTCTTGTACATGCCACGAATCACAATACACATCGTATACCAATAAATCTTGGCTATAGCACTTTGCACCGTAACTTTGTGAAGTGTCGTTATGAGTATTGCCGCCAAAGACCATCATGAGTCCATGATTTATAAAGTTGGCCGTATGTAGTAAACGTGCACTTGGTGCCGCAGACAATGACGTCCAAGTGCGAGTGGATGGCTCGTATGCGAACAATTTTGAACTAAGCACCTGGCTGGACTCACTCTCCGATATAATACCGCCATAAACATAGACCTTTTCAGTTAAATAATCAAATGCTGCGCTATGGCCGAAACCCCCTTTTACCACATAACCATACGTTTCAACAATCTTCCATTCACGTGTACCGAAATTAAACTCTTGCACTGTATTCAGGTAGCCATATTGTGGAGAATGCCCGAAAATTGCAATCATATATTGGTAATTGTTTTTTTCACCGAATCCTGGCACTAAAGTCGCCGTATGACCTGCTACTCGTAACGGACCACACATAGCATACGAAGTTAAAGCAGTTGCATTACATGAATCACTTTTAACCGTTATATTTTCCCATGTTTTGGCAGAAACATCAAATGCCCATAACTCATTTGATATACCACGTCCTTCAATCACACCGCCGTACATGAAAATTTTATCTCCATACATAACTGTCGAGGCTCCGTACCGTTTTTCGGGTACACTACCTCCGCCATCAATATGCAAGGTTTCCCACACATTGCCGTTGAAATCATAAGTCGTCATTAGCTCTCCGCGACCGTACGACTCTCCACCTATTATATGAAGGGTATCACGCCACACAGCTGCACCATGTGATGCCGTGCCTGGTGGAGGGGGTGACTGTGTTGGATAAATTGTGGACCAAACACCAAGCGCCTTAAGTTGCCCGCAATCGTTACCGCCAAAGCCTTCATTACACATGCATCTAAAATATGTGGAAAAACGAGTTAAAGATACATATAATAATAATCCTCTTTTTTGAATGAATTTTATTTTAAAATTCTAACCCACATAAACTAAATATTTCGTATTATACATACATACATACTCACGTATGCACGTACGTGTGTTATTGCGGTAATATATCTTATTTTGACGCTCTGAATACATAAATATTAATTTATGTGGGTTACAATCGTTTAACCTTTTACCTTTCTTCGTCCTCTTTACATGTGCCCTGGCCTTTGTCCTCCGAGCAATTATTGGGACATGCAGCTACATCACAAGCCTCACCTTTATACAAGGTATCACAAATGCAGTCACCATCACTGCATCTTCCATGAGCAGAGCACTCAAGATCTGATAGTAAGTTATAAGAATGTGAAAGAATCGAAAAGAGATTGATTGATTACGCACCCTCTATGCTAGTAGGACAACCATCCATTTTGTATGCTAGATTGAAACCAGACATATTGTAGGCATCATCGCTAAAGAAATGAAGAAGCGCTGTCCCTGACCTTGCAATCACCTGTGGTACTCTTCGTATAGCGAAATCAGCTCTATACATAAGTCCGCTTTAAAACAAATTGATAAGCAATTTTGGTTAGTTGTTACTCTTAAACATATGTATGTATTTATTAGGGTGGGTCAATTTTTTTTTTGACTATGCGCGTAGTTCTAAGCAAACTTGCCGAAGAAACCATGGGTCTAAAATCAATATGGATTTTGCCAAATTGCGAAAGTACGGTTCCGAGAAAATGTGAAAACTTTCACTCTTCCCTCCTCTTTAAAGAAAAAGATAAGTGCAGGAATGGATTCCTCATACCAAAAACCCTTTCTAACATGTTTTTATACAAAATTTAAGCACTTCTTTACGTCACTACAGCAAAGTGCTAAGCAAACTATTTTCGCAATTTGGCAAATTCCAAATTGATTTTAGACCCATGGTTTCTTCGGCAAATTTGCTTAGAATTACACCTAGAATCTTCCTGTGCTATATGTAGGTTCATAGTCAAAAAATCTAACATATAAATTGTCCCGCCCTAGTATTTATGTATCTATGTATGACTAAAATCTTACCTAAATACTGCTAGCAGTGGGGAATCCACACTATCGCCATCGTAAATATACAGGTGATCCCAACCACATTCAGTAGCAAATTCACGCAGGTGAATACGAATTGAAGGTGTTCGCAAAGAATTTGAATGGGGATGTCGCGCGTCGATAAGCCAACTACATTTAACACTAACCGAGTAATTTCCCTGTCCATCATGAATTGTTCCAGACGGATGGTATAATCTTGAAAAAAAAATGGAAGGAAATCATTGAAAAATAAAACAGTTGCAAAAAAGTACTGAATTTCCATCTTTAAATAATAGAAACCTCAAGAGTTACATCAAACGCAATTCCCTATTAACATATTAAAATGTCTAGGAATGCTTTTAAGGAATTGTAAATTAGCAAGCGCAACAGCAACAGCAGCAGCGATGGCGGCAGCAGCAACAAAAGTAATAAAATACAAGTAAGAAAGTCTAAGTGCGGGCGGAGCCGAACATTAAATACCCGGCGCAATTATTAAATATATGTTTCTTCACCTTTCCGAAACCTACCGCTAGATGGTAAGCCGGGGTGTATCAATTTTGAGTAAATTAGCGTCCTTAAATTTCGAAATATTGCATTTCATGAAAAGAGGCCGTAATTTTAGCCCGATTTCAATAATTTTCAAAGTTTTGCTTTTATGTGGCAAGCACAATAAAAATACCGAGTTTGGTACATATATGTGATCATAAGTGGGCTGAGCCACGCCCATTTTCCAAAATTTTACCATAAACGTATTTCTTGGTAAAGAGTTGTTGCAAGCATCAATTTTGAATAAATTAGCTTTAATATTTACTGATTTATCGAAGATTTTGTATTTCCCTAAATTACCGTTATATGGGATGTGGGCCATTCGGCCATTTACCAAGGCCAACAACTGTGCCCAGTTTGGAAGAAATTGGTGCAGCGGTTACCAAGATATACACATGTAACCATAAGTGGGCGTGGCTACGCCCATTTTCCAAAGATTTATAATATTCTTATATTTCGTCTGAAAATTATTGTAAATATCAATTTTGAGTGAATTATCTTCAGTAGTTACTAAAATATCGCAGTTTTCGTATTTCTGGAAATTACCGTTATATGGGAAGTGGGCGTGGTTTTAGTCCGATTTCGCCCATTTTCAATACCAACCTACCTTGGATTAATGGAAACCTATATGCCAAATTTGGTTGAGATATCTCAATTTTTGCTCGAGTTATCGTGTACACGGACGGACGGACAGACAGACATGGCTTAATCGACTTCTCTATTCAGTCTGAGCATTTATGTATACTTTAGTCTATATCTATCTCGATTCGTTTTGGCTGTTACAAACAACCGTTATGTGAACAAAATTAGTATACCCTTGTGCACAAGTGCGCTCGGGTATAAAAATATGTGAAATTGTACATATATGCATATGTACATACATATGTATGTCATGCAAGCGGAGTTTTGGTAAAATGAGTTTTTAAAAATTTTGTTCAGTTATTTAATTTATTTTATTATAAAACATAACATTTGTATAATAGGTTAGGTCTGAAGATATGTAATAAATTAACTGACAAAAACCTGCGTGCAAAATGAACTTTTCTCTCAAAGTTTCCACTGCTGACAAATGCAAATAAGTATTAAAATTTTAAAACTAATTAATACAACTATAAGATACTTTTTCGCGAAATCCATAAAGGACCCTTTTATTTCTCAAGAAAACCTGGGTAACAGTTATTCGTCGCCACGCTGTATAGGTATATGCAACAGTATTTGAAATCAATGCTCTTGCAAACATGGCTCTAAAGTAAATTCAATTCAAGAATCGAAGAATAAGGCCAATAAGACTCACATAACAGCATAAAATAAAACTCCGAAAGTAGGCATTTATGAGGCCAATAAGAGTCATTTAAGAGCCCAAAAATAGGGGGTATATGGGGCCTATAAGAGTCGAATATGACTCATATAGAGGTTCATTTGATGTATGAATTTAAGCTCATATAGGTCAACCTTCGCAGAGAGGGAAACACCCTCATACACACACATACACGCACCCCCACACAGTACTTTGCTAAGGAAGTCGATTTTGTCAAGAGGGAGCGCGAAAACTGTTTTACGAACTCGTTAAGAAATTTCTGTACGAAAAATAAAAAAAAATCTGACAAAATTCTGCAAGAAATTCTTCACATAGCAACATTATTTCTATGCTTTACCGATTTTCTTCAGAAATTTCGTAAAAGAATCGAAGTGTGCACAGATTATTTCATTATAGAAAATTCGACCAAAAAATCGGATGAGATCTTTACGAATTCTTTAAAATTTCTCTACAATTCAGAATACTCTGAAAACATGGCTTGCAGGTATGTTAGAATTGATTTCAAGTTTTTTTTTAATTGTTACCGGTTGAGTGTTTATCTGATAAATGCAATTACACATCTACTTAAGGCAAAAAAATATATTTAAAATAATAATAATTGTATGGGCACGTTACAGGCTAACCTAATATTCGCGGCTTGCGGTTTGGTACGCACGCAGTCGAATTGGTTTTTTTTTTGCGTCACCCGAAAATTGGCTTGCGTGCGTTTCACGCAGAACAAAAATTTGAAATTGAGTTAGCTTCATACGCACGCCGTTCAATTTCGGTTGGTCCCATACAAGTTGTATGTGCATGAGAAATTTTTGACTGTAAATTGGCGGCGTGCGTGAATTTTAGGTTAGCCTGTTAGAGCTTGACGTCACCTGTTTTCTATAAAAAATGTGTTCAACAAATCTGCTTGCTTGGGTAGGCGACCCTTTTACAGATACCAGGTGGGAAAGGTATATACGTTAAAACGTTAGTTACTTTCATTGAAGTCGAAGCGGTGGTGTTTAGATACAAATGTTTTACAGAATATTATTTAAAATCAGTATTGTATATCGCCAGATGCTATCCGTTGGCGGTGACGTCCACCAGACGGTTTAAAGTTCACGTAATCAATATTTATTGTCATCCTATTACTTTGAACCAAGCGTGTAGATACATACATGGCGTATGAGTAACAAACAAACGAATCACTAAATTTTAGTCTATTTTTTAGTAAATTAAGGTATCCACACACCTATGCGATTCTGTCGGTGCGAATCTGTCCCGACAAAAATTACAACAATGCCGACCATAATTTTAAATGAGGAACCACACACATATACGATTTTGCTGCAGCGATTTATTCAAACATTCACAGGTCTTCTTTTCGTCGTGCCGAAATCGTAGACTGCTGCGTTTTCAGAAACATAAAGGTCAATACTCGGATTATTCCTGATAATATAAAAGTCTCAAACGTTCCATATTTAAATTGGGCGCCACTTGTATCAACTCACGTCGAGCGCAATTTGTGTATATTCAAGGCCTGTTCTGTTACAAAAAATCAAGTAGATAATGAAGAAAATCTATGGATAAACAAAGAAGTAATAACTAAGTGGTCATATGAAAATGCGCAAAGATTTTTTGTATGGAAAATGAGCAGGAAAGAATGTTACTCATACGCCATGCACACCTGAAAATATCTCGCAAACTTATCCATAGAATAAAAAATTAACTCGATTTTCGGAATCAGCGAGCAGTGCTATACAAGAATTGAATATGTAGTGGCGTGTGTTGAACATTTTTCCTGTAAAACAGTGTTGTTTTTCAGTTTTTGTCCTTTTTTAGTGCTTTCTTTTGCCTTTTTTGCTATTTCTAGTGCCTTTTCCTGCCTATTTCGCTATTTTATTTTGACTTTTCCAGCCTATTTCGTTATTTTTTTATAGGTTTTTAGGTCCTAAAAATCCATTCCCTGCATATAACACTATTTATTACCTGAATTTCATTAATACGAAAATAAGATAGGTTTGGCGGCTCTGGGATCCTATACCATTATGTTATGAATTGTGGATTGTTCATTAGTCAATTGTTAATTTTTGAAATAAATGCATTAAAATAATGTAGTGGTTAATTCATTTCCAGAATAATTAATTAAACTGGACCACAAATTTCAACTTTTTCTCTTTACCAGAAACGCCGTTATGAAATTCTTATGTAAAATCACCCCCTGATTCCGAAAATCAAGGTTATTTTTAATTCTATGGTACCGTTTTTGAGATATTTGCAATTTACCGTTTTTGCAAAAAAAAAAAAAAAATGGGTCCACTTTATCATATATATCTCAAGAACGAATTAAGCAATTCCAAAACGGTTGGAAGCTTTTCTATAAACTGTGCATACAACACTTTTTGCTAGGCCCTGTAGAT